AACCATCAGAAAAGCAATTACAATTTTGCATTACATAACATGCAGCATTATTAGCTCAACCTACTTCACTAGCACAGAAGTAATATTAAACTGAAGTTTTCTGATAGAAGCCTCAAGAAAAACAACAAAATACTGCATTTCTTCAATTCTAAGGTGCACCACTTTCCCCATATAAACATTTCTTAAAATGGAGTGCATCTTAGAACTGAAGGTGTTTTTTATATATACAAATAAAGTTTTTTCTGTTGGTGGTACTGAAGCTAGTGTGCGTCTCACAATCAATGGTGTCTTCGAATTAAAGAAATACGGTAATACCAATGTTTGTGGAATGCCTTCGTTCATAAAGCTTCTGGTGCCTTATAACCCCCCCCCCCCTAATTCTCTAAGCTCCTACTAATCAAGAGACTTGCTGAAATACAAAGAAGAAAGCACCAATTACCAGAAAACCAAAGGTACAGATAAATATAGTTATTTTGTTCCTGATCAAAGCTACAATTTGAAGTTTTCAATTCTTGACTTTGATCAAGGCAAGAAAACGCCTTCTCCATTTGAAAGAGTGAACATTCAGTAAAGAGTGGTTTCAGCCTTGAGTCACTTTACTTCAAATTATCTGCTGCATTAGGTTGTTTGACATTAAGCAACAGTTTAAACAGAAAATTGAAACTTTATTTATAATGAATTCCAGATTTATAATTATTTCCAATTTACTATAATGTAAAATGATGAGTAACTGAATATGAAGGCAAATAGCCATAAAAGCATAGCTCCTCATTAAATAGCTCCCATTAAAAACAAGTTACTCCTCCCTCCATGACTTTTGACTTTCAAAGCAGTTCTGAATCATGCAGGAAAGGTTGGGGAAGGGGGGAATCCAAATTTGAACCACTAATCTTTTTTTTTCTGGAAATATTCCATAATGTTTGGATGTCTCCCAAGGCTATTTTAATTTTCAGAACCATTAAGCAACTTCAATAGTGCCTCAAAAGTTTTAAAATCTCATGCTTTCCCCTGGCGATGAAAGGGAGGGATGAGGTGGGCATGGCTAAGCACAGCTAGTATTGTAGTTTGTGAAGGCCAGGGCCCCAATGGTAGGGATTGCAAAAGGCCCTGCTGTTAAACTACATTTCCCACACTGCCCCTATGCTCATTGGCCAAATTGGCTGAAGGACACCTATAGCTGTCTGTAGCAGTCTTCATTTAAATATAAAATAAACTGATTGACTCTACAAAGAGGTCTAAAGAAGGCAGCAAAGCAATAAGCAACTTTTGCAAAGCCAAGAGAATATAAACTGCTTAAAAACCAATCATTTCACTTTGGCCTGATTGCTATGAACAAGGCACCAGGGTAGCCAGCCACGGCCAGCAAGCCCTTTAGGTCAGTAAGTAATGATAAAATTACATTATTGATTGCATTTGTAAAAAGGAATAAATGAATGGATGTGTCTTGAGGGTCCCCTCCAACTGAGTAAAGGAAACAAATGGATGACAGAAGAGTTTGGATGGTGCCTTTCTGCCCAGAAGAAGGGGGGGTCAGTCTAGATGTCCCTTGATGGAGTCTGTACTATGATTTCTGTTCTCCACCAATTTAACACAGTTTGTGCCACACAAATAAGGTTTCTGGAGTAGAACAACTACTTTCAAAGAAAAGACCACCCAAATGAAACAGGAAATTACACTTTCAAACCAGGAACAGATTTTTATTATTATCAAAAATGTTTTTTATTTTTTAAAAGTTTGAAAATTTGCCAAAAATCCATGGATAACTCAAAGGTTGTGAAATTTGGTGAACTAACAGTGGTTCATGTGTTCTACCACTGTGGCAAATTTCATCAGAATTGGTCTAAAACTGAGGGAGGGAGAATCCCTTGAAGTCTCCCCAGTGCCAGTGTTGTTTTTTTCCTACTGCGCATGCGTGTCTGCCATTAACGAAACGATTCGGAAATTTCAGAAGTTTTGGAAAGTTTTGAATTTTTAAAAAAATCAGAAGTGACTTTAGAATCGAACCACCAGCGCCCCCTACATCCGAAACGAGTTTTGAACCATTTTTTTTAAAATCAACCAAGCCTAATATCTGGCAGGGACGAGAGACAGGGCCTTCTCGACTGTGGCCCCCTGCCTATGGAACACACTCCCAAATGAGGTAAGATCCACTCCCTCCCTCCTGGCTTTTAGAAAAAAAAATCATAGTTTTGGGACCAGGCCTTCAGGCAGTAGAAGTAAATGTATGCAGCATTTCAGAAAGACAATGACTGGAACGGCGATTCGATGGACGAGTCTGTTTTATTGTTTTAATGATTGTTTTATTGCTTATGCATGTTTTGTTTTAATTTGATTTATGTCTAATTCTAATGTATAATTGTAATTGTTTGTACTGGCATTGAATTTTGTTATTACTTATGTGTAAACCGCTTTGAGCCCCCCTCGGGGTGAGAAAAGCGGTATAAAAATACTGTAAATAAATAAATAAATAAACTTTAACTCAGTATTTTATTAACCTGTAAATATAAAAAAAAATGTTCACTTAAATAATTTACAAATACTTTTACCCCCATTTCTTACTCCTAAGAAATTGATTGTAAAAGTAAGCCATAAAAGTTCCATATCTTTTATTAGAATTTTTATATGTGTATGCAGTGTCTTAAAGTAAAGCGTCTCTTCTTATCCCTCAGAACCAGGCAAGATTTCAGGCAACATTTAAATTAGGAATTCAATGCTTGCTATGTGGTTTTACTTGTAAATGCATAGCACGGAATGCAAATGTGCAAGCCCTGCTAGTGTGCGTACTATGTTTGCAAAGGCCATACGATTTATCTCAAAGAGTTCTTGTTATTTAAAAGGATACAAAAACATCTGCTTCTAGTGTGCGTGTGTGTTGGTGGAAGCGGGGGAGTGAGGGGGCTGCAGAAATATCCGTAAAGGAATGGCACATTAAGATAGAAGTTCCTCTGAAATAAAAATCACCCCTTCCAGTTGTTCCTATTCCTTTATGGGAAAGTGTAGGGTATGCATGTATATAGACTGCACCCAACTCTATATGACAGATATAGCTATTGACTTTATCACTTGCTTTAATGGGCTATATATACTACTTAGTTACCCATCAAATGAATTCTTGTAAGTGTCTGTCTAAACCTAAATAGCATCTTACTGAGACCACACATAAAGAGAGAAGGAAAATCAAGACCATGGATACTGCTTTCCTTCCCTGCTATTCACAAACCAACAGAAGCATTTAAAAAAAGTTTTACTATCACACAAACATAAGAAAAATGTATTGTCAAGAGTCCAGAGAGGAGCAGAAGGGAAGAACTGTTCAGTATAGATTAATCAAAACCTTCTGAAGTGGAGATTCTATAGACGAACACTTCCTAGTATTGTCAGTGACTGGTTTGTTTTCAATGCCCAGCTATAGAAATGCATTACCAAATCCAAGTCAAATGTGTAGTTATAACAAGAAAATGCAGTGAAAGCATTAAACATTTTCTATCATCAAAGTACATTACAATTGAATGGAAAACAGCGAAGTACAGTGTGAAGGGAAATGCAGTCTTTCGCTGTGTATGTTTCCTATTCAGTACAAGGAAGCTAAAATGGTGAAAATAACTTTACTCATAACACATAGCACAGCGGGTTAAACCACCAGCTGTAGAAAATCTTGCTTATCAAAAGGCCAGAAGTTCAAACCCGTGCCGAGTTCAGCCCAGTTGAAGCACAGGCCATCCTCAGCCCATCTTCTGCTTGCCTAGCAGTGTAAAAACAGCAATGTGAGTAGATAAATAGGTACCACTTTGGCAGGGAGGTAATAAAAGACGCCCATGCGGACATGCCGGTGATTCAATTGGGAGGACATCTACGGACAACAAAGCTCCTCAGCATGGAAGATGGAGCAACAGCACCTCCCCATGGCTGGAGTCGAGCACAACCTCCAGATGCCGGAAATGGAAAAAGATGGGAAGTCTTTACCTCTGTTTATGTAATGTCTGTCTTTGTTAATTGTATAACAGCACTGAATGTTTGCCGTATATGTGTACTGTAATCAGCCCTGAATCCCCTTGTGGAGATAGGGTGGAATATAAATAAAGTATATATAGGAAGTAACTGGGAAGTGGATACTGATATTGATTTAGGGCTAGAAATGGAAACAAATTCAACTATATTCTATAGATTAAAGTAATCTTTTCATACTTCCAGAGATTTGTTGTTTGGGGAAAACACATAACTCACCACAAGAATTCACATCTTGTGGGGAGTTTTTTTTTAAAAAAAACTCCACATTTTATGAGTACTTTATAAAAGGCAAACAGCTAAATATACAAATAAATGAAAAAATATGCACATTAGCTAAAATGTGGAAATAAATTCTTACATTACAAAAAAAAGTAAACAAACCAATTAATACCATCATTTTGTAAAGCAATACACAAAAATCTTAAATCTTATATGAGATAAGGAGAATACAGGGACAAGTTTCATAGAAACAAAATAAAATCAAACCAGACATATGTTCACATCGCTGTGAATGAAGAGAGTCCAGAAAGTTTACATGGTGCCCTGAGGAAGTTCTAGACAAATCAAATTCTATTTGACATTGATAGCTGACAAGTCTTATTGTGTTTTGTCTGCAGTTCTTATTTGGTCAGTTTAATTTTCTATATAAAAACAACTTAAAGTATCCATTTTTACTTCACCAAAATCAGCAGGACTTCTTTATGATGTGCTATTAATGTCAATTACATCTATCTTCTTTTAAAAAAATCAAGGACACAGAATAGGGTAGGGCCATCCAGAAATTGTCTCTTTTGCTGGCTTCACCGTATCCTTAAAAAGTTATAATGTTATATCTACAATTCATGAATCTTTCAATCAAGAGTTGCCAGGAATTTAAACTGAAGTAGTAAGGACTATGCAACCTGTACACAGACATCCCTCTAATAAAACATATATGACACGTTTACTTGATTGTGTATCTTTCACATTATTACTGTGAAATATTTCCTTACCTGGGGATATGATATAGAAGAAATCTTTAAATTCATCCATCCACACCTCAGCAAGTCGTCTATTGTTCTTGTTAATTACGTGACCGGTACCACCAGGAAAAGTATAGGGTGTAGCCTTTCGGAAGACATGACCAACATGTGAACAAGTTACAATCTCTAGTGCTCCTCCACATTGCCAGATCTGAAATTTAAGTTGTAAATGAAATGTCAGCTTATTCTCTAACATACAATAAATGCCTCAGTTGCTACATATTCATCATAATAGATAAACTATGATTTAGTAGGCAGAGCGCAGGCAAGATATTTGAGGTCTCTAAATATATTAAATTTTCTTGGGAATTATCATACTAATTTTCATAAGATTTAGTGGCATCTAAATTTGACTTAGCCATAATTTAACTTTTTAAATTTCCACTTCATATTCCCTTCACCTCTTTGCTGAAAGGTGAATGAGATGGAAAAGGAGAGAAGAGAAAGTCAAAAGACAATGATGTTCTGTTTAGAGAAAGGGTCCTAGAGTTATTGCTTACAGCTCCAGAGGCATTTTGGCATGGCAAGGGGAACAGATCCATGATACTGGTGGATGCCTCTGCCTCCACTTTCCAAATGATTGTTATCCCAGTCCCTGGTGGCGCAATGGGTTAAAACATTGTGCCAGCAGGACTGCTGACCAAAGGGTCGGCAGTTCAGTTCTAGGGAGCGGGGTGAGCTTCTGTCTGTCAGCTCCAGCTTCCCATGCGGGGACATGTGAGAAGCCTTTACATGATGGTAAAACATCCGGGCATCCTCTGGGCAACATTTTTGCAGATGGCCAATTTTCTCACACCAGAAGCGACTTGCAGGTTTTCAAGTTGCTCCTGACACACACACACACACACACACAAACCCAGGCTACGAGTTCATGGAGAATGGCTAGCAGAGTTGATATCACCGCACTGTAGACTGTCAGGTCAGTCCCTATCCTCCTGAAATTAAGGTCAACATATTGGCCTCTAAGTTTAAGAGGATCTCTGCTTTGTTTTAGTAAGCCTATTTGCCTCTCCAGAAATGAATGCTCAGAATAAAGTTGTGATAAAGAGATACATGCAATATATCTCTTGGGGGGGGGGCAGTTGTAACAGCTCTAATGAACTCTCCCCATCATCATCGCCATTCCCTTCCGCAGTTCAGGACTCAAGAGAGCCCACAAAAATGAAAACAGATACAGGTAAAATGCCATACAAAATAAATCGTATTAAGTAAATATTGTAATCAAACTACCAATAGCATTACAACCAGTTCAAATATTATCATTAAAAGGACAACAAATAAACAGTACATTATGCAAGCATCTTTCTCCCAGAACAAACAGTTACTGAAGGTCTGCCCAAACGAAAAAGGGCAAGAATAAGGATACCAATTTCCCCACTTTAGGAAAGGAGTTTCATAGCCAGGGAGCAACCAACAAGAAGGTCATTTCCCATGTTCCCACTAGGTGTACCTGTGCAAATGCTGGAACAGAGAGAACAGCCTTTCCAGACAATCTCAATATATGGACAGGCTCATAGGAGATATATAATCTTTCAGATAACTTCTACCTGAGTTGTATCTAACGCATCAGAAAGAGAGAATATGAGGGCAAGTCTTAGACTTGGATGAACTGAGGCCATTTTATGTCCAGAAAGCAAACTGGAGCAAAACCTATAAGTTCAAATGAGTCCAATTTAAAACTTGCTCCAGAAGTTGGTCAAGCTGTCTGATTGCATACTGTGAGCTGGAGCTTCCACTGATGCCAGAATAAGAAAGACATCACAAGTCACAGCATTGCCGAACTCTCCATCCACCTCTGTACTCACAAGAAGCATGTGTAACAGGGATCATGTATAGCGTTGTACAAAAAGCAAGTAATACAAACAGTATAAGTGACAGTAGCTTATGAAAGGACATGGGAAGTGCTATAATTTAGAGTCCTTACCCCCAGATCTTCTATTTGTGAGGCTGAGTCTCACAGATCTTATTGACAGATTTCAGGGCCCTGCAATGTTTGGGCTCACAAATCACACTGAAGGTCAGATCAATGTGTTTCACATTATAGCAGAAGCAGGCTTAGAAGATTTTTACTTGTTTTCCAACAGCACTGAATTAATGATGTTGCCTTCAGACAGCTATCACTTCATGATTTTGTCCTATTAGAAACTATGTCAATAACTGCTTCTTATGCTGAAGTTCAAGAAATATATCATGATATATCAACAGTTTATCAGAAAATGAAAGGTTACAGCATGAAATAATACACCAGAGTTTCACATATTCCCAAATCTGCTGGTAGGGAATTGCACAAGATCTCTGAAACTCAGAGGAGGGCAGTGGAGTATAATTCTAATGATGACACTGCTTCAGAAGAACCTTTTGCTTGAGATTTACTATATATTTCAGAGAAAGAGGAGAAGCAATTTTGGCGATTTGTTAAAAATGTCAGTTTTACCATCACTGGAAGATTGTCAACATGACTAGGTCTGAAAAAAATGTCCTTGCATCAAACTGAGGTTTCCTGTTGTCTATTCACAGACTACTTATACGGTTGCTCAGAGTACATGAAAAATTGTGTTTTCTAATCTAAAAGGTAGTGGACAGTTCAATAAACAAAACCAAATGGCTAATGCCACTGCACAATATTAAACATGATTAACAGAACGGAATTCATTTGTTTTACTAGATTTAGAAGAAATGTTTCTCCTCTCAAACCTTTGTGCATTACCAATTATTGCTAACACAAAAGTCTTGATTTTAATCATAGCAGATAAAAAGCCACAAGACCTATGCAATGATGCCAAAACCAGCAACATAGCAAAAATTAATAAATCAAAATGTCTGGGGGAAACACATTTGGAGCAGACTCACTGAAACCAGCGAGACTTCTTTAAATCCCAGATATTACAGCATGATAAATCTAAGTATTATTGAGTCTGATTCAATCTAATATTAAACAAACAACTCAATATAAATCTCATTTGCATAGGGCTGCAAGTTTAAGTTGATTATTCAGGGGAATCCATCCAAATGCACCTCCTCTTATGAGCCAACAAGAGCTTTAAGATTGGCTGGAGAGGTCCTGCTCTTGGTCCCACCACCTTCACAAGTGCAATTGGTGGGGATGAGAGACAGGGTCTTCTCAGTGGTGTCCCCCCAGTTATTGAATTCCCTCCCCAGTGACATCAGGCAGGCCCCATCTCTTCTGGATTTCAGAAAAAAGATAAAGACATGGCTCTGTACAAAAGCATTTGCAGAATGAACCATTACAGTTTCGACACTGTCTGAATAAGGATTATGAGCAAGGATTACAGGTGAATGGAATCATGCAATTTATATATTTTAATCTGTTTTTATTCTATGTGTTTCATTGTTTAACTGTTTTAACTGTTATTAATATATAGGATAGGTTTTATGACTATGGTTTAAGTGGCATTGAATCTTGCCGGAGTTGTAAGCCACCTTGAGTCCCCCTTTGAGTTCTATGGGGGTGAGAAAGGTGGGGTATAAATGAAGCCAATCAACAAAGAAAATCCTCTGCTGTTTGTTAAAAATGTTTTATTAACTAAAATAATCTCATTCACAGACATGGCAGATTTCTAAAAAATAGATTTTAAAGACAAGAACTAAAAACTGTCAACTTGTCATCTTAGTAGAATTCAACTTAGTAAAAGCATTTCTCTACATTTGGCAGGTAAAATACCTCTAAAATTATGCCTGCAACATGTGCATACATAATGTAAATAAGAGACCTTATTTAGTTCTGAAATACTGATTTTATGCATTCATGTTCTCATGTAATTTTTTGTAATGGTTTTTAATGGACATGTTTTAATCTTGTGATTTTAATGTATATGTTGTTTTCTTTTTATGTGTACTTAGGGCATCAAATTGTGCCTCTGTTGTAAGCCACCGAGTCCTCTTCGGGGTGAGAAGGGTGGGACAGAAATGTCCTAAATAAATAAGCTGTTACCATGTTTTTCCCAGACTGAACAAAAAAATAAATAAAACCCTTCAAAAACACTCAAATATTTAATCTCGCCCCCCGTGTTTGCTGTATTTTACTCTTTGTGTAATTTGATATTTGTATTTAATAGAAATTTGTATGCGTGTATGTTTGTGTATACACACATATATCATAATGTATTATGATGATATGTTTTTAACTATGCTGTTCCTCACCTTGACATGAGGAGAGGCGGGTAAGAAATAAAATTACTTTTATTATTTTTCCCTTCCCAGGAAACTGTTGTAAACTCGTAATGTTTCTTTTAGCTCTTTTGCTTACCTTTTCTACCATTTCCTACCATTACTCTATAGAGCAGTGTTTCTCAAACTCTGCTCCTCCAGGTGTTTTGGACTTCAGCTTCCAAAAATCCCAGCCAGTTTACCAGGTTTTAGAAATTGTGGATGCTGAAGTCCAAAATGCCTGGAGGAGTAGAGTTTGAGAAACACTGGTTTAGAGTATTATGATGGTATTAATATAATAGAGGCTATAATATCCAGTGCCGTGAATCTATCAGTCAGTGCAACGAATCTAACTTGGGTTTTAGTCTGATTTTAAAGTAGCTTTTAGGATGCTGAAGCTACTTTGGGGAATGGGTCTCAGCACCTTGGACAGCATCTTCAGATTTAAATTTGGACTGATTTTGCCACTGACATAGAGGACAAAGTTGTTTTATTTTCAGTCCATTTCCAGCTTCCACTCTCCTGTAACTGCACAGTAAATTGGCATCTTCACTACTATGTCAAAATCTCTTTTTTTCTTGTATAATCCCAGTATCTGCACTACATAGGTACTTGTAAATTTAAGATTCTTTAAAATGCCTCATTTATGATTATACGATTTGTTACTTTGATGACAATTTACCAGTTTTGGAGCTATCCTTTTAGAGCTCTTTGCTTTGGATTTTAGCATTCTGTATAATTTGGCATCTCCCACAAAAGCTGGGTGTCTTCTGGTCACCCCTAACAAACATATAAATAAAGAAATAATAATTCCATATTACCAACATAATGTTTTGCTCTCCTCAGGATAAACCACTGCTTACATATTTTTCAATGTGAAAATTGTCTAATCTTACTTCTCTTTGGATTTCTGCTCATCAGCCATCTATAAGTTGAATATCCTCTATCCAAAATGCTTAGAACCAGAAGTATTTTGGATTTCTT